AGTGGGATCCTCCAGCAGTCTTTGAAATTCGGCAGACTCTGGGAGATCAAAGAGAACACCCTCCCACCCTTTCTGCCTTGTTCAGGCCACAGAAGACTCAGAGATCTCGCCACTACATCAGCAGAGGCCACATCCCATTGGCTGGAGACCCTTCTCCCCACTCTGCAGGCTCAGATGGTGGGTCCTGGGAAGTCTCCTGTAAAAAGGGCCTCCATTGGGGTAAGTACCACCCAGGGAGCAGGCGAGGTCCTGGGTAGAGACTGGATGCCTGTCTGCAATGATTCAATGCCAGACATTAGACTCCTTAGAGAGCTATTAAATTTCCTCTCCCAAGATCATAAAAACAACATGTTCTTATTTGAAGCTAGAAAACAGCAAATACATAAGAAAAGGTGAATATCCTTCCCCTCAGGCACGGCTGATGTCCCATCCCCCACAGCTCAGCACGCACACACCTACATGAGTGATATTACAGCCTGAACCACCATGCACCCTGCTCATGAACATAATACACAGGTTTTGCAGTTTATTCTCACAAAAAGAGTCCTTCTCTGACACATTATCTGCAAAGAGCCGTGTTTTCACTTACCTCATGGTTGGCCCTGTAGCTTCCTGAATTTAAGGCTAGCTCCTTCTTTAAATAGCTGCATGGTGTATTTGACCCTTCCTGTTTAGTATGCTGGGGCATCACTACTTGAAAAGGTGTCTGATAAGTGTCTGCTGCATGTAGATAATCAGAACGCCCTTGAGCTAGAGACATGGCTCAGCAGTTACAAGCACTGACTGCTCTTCCAGAGGACCCAGGGTCAGTTCCAAGAAGCAATGCCATGTCTTGCAACAGGGGGCTCTGATGGCCTCTTCTGGCCTCTGAGGGCACTACACACAACCGGCGCACAGGCAAAACATTCATACACAGAAAATAGTGGAGCTCCCTCTTAATCCCAGCCCTCAGGAAGCAGAGGTCCACAGATCTCTGAGAGTTTGAAGCCAGCCTTGACTACATAGAGAGTTCCAGGCTGCCCAGGGTTACACAGTGAGACCTTATCTCTAAATAAAGACATAAATAAATACTTTTTAGAGAGAGAGTTCAAGGCCAACTTTGGCTACATAGGAAGCTTGAGTCCATCCTATCCCACATGAGAGCAAGTTTCAATAATTAAGCAAAACACACACACACACACACAGAGGAGAGAGAGAGAGAGGGAGAGAGAGAGAGAGAGAGAGAGAGAGAGAGAGAGAGAGAGAGAGAGAGGAGAAATGGAATGGAAGTGGCTAGAGAAATTATCATAAATTCATAAATGCGGATGGTAATTATTATGGTTAACTGCTAAAAGGAGACTATAGGAGGAAAACAGTACTCCACCATTAGCCATGTGACTTATTAGAGGCGCATACAGATGAGGTAATAAAAGGGCGGTTTACCACACCGCTAACCACACCCACTTTAGGCATGACTAAAGACGTATACGGACGTAGGCGGTGAACTACGTCACTAGCCAGGCCCACTTTTGGGCATGGCTACGGGGCTTTACGGAGGAAGGTATAAAGGACTGAACAGCGGAAGTCTCGCTCTCTTTTCCGGCTTCCAGTTCAGCGGTGGAAAACTACTCGGCTCATCTGGGTTACTTGTTTGTCTCTTGTGAGTAATTTCTACAATAAATACTTACTTTTACTTTCAGTAAGTGTGCCGTTTATCGTTGCAGCATCAGGAGACCAATACATAATTTTCATTTTGTGCTCATATGTTTTGATCATATAAGCAAGGCTGCCTGTGACAGCCTGCACACAGATGTCAGGATAGAAACGGTTCTCTTCTCTCCTTCCATCTCCACATAGGTTCTAAGGCTTGAATCTTAGGCTACCAGGTTTTTTAAACAAGTGCATTTACCTGCCAAGCCATCTCATTGGCCCAGAAAATGATAATTTCCAAGTAAGTTGAAGAACATATGTCCACTTCATTTAAGGTAGAAAAAGACAAAGTGGGAGCCAGGCAAAATCAGAGAGCAGCTCTCCACTGCAGACCCCAGTCTACCCAGCAGGGGCCAAGGCGCCAGTGCATCGCTGCAATGAGGTTGGCTATAGAGACTTCAGAAAGGCTAAGAAGTGCACTGATGCTGACTACTGGGAACAACTCTAGACGTCCCTGCAGAACCGGCCAGATGGGAGAGCGGCCGCCACCGCCACTGACTCCAGAACCTCACTGCCCTGGACAGCTGTCAGGACGTGAATCCACCAGAGGCCTTCACAACACTAAGAAGCCAGGACTGACCTGGCAGCAGAGCCTGCCTCTCTGCAGCTGCCGCAAAAGAACCAGAACGTGTCTACCACAGGGCACCCAGAAGAACCCAGGGCCACCTCTGCTAATGCTCAAGTCCATTTCCCTTTCTGCTTTGTCTGTTCTTCTGGACAGACTCAACATTGAGGCAGAAGTCCTAGCTGCCCCGGTGCCTGGAAGTCCCTTCTCCAGGCCTCAGGACCCTAGAGCACAAGAAGCCATGGTGCATGGTGGCAGGCGGTTGGGGGCAGCACTGAGCAGGGCATCTTTGGTATCTGATACACCTAGGCCTCCATGATAATACCATGAAGTGGTGTCACCCCAACCTAAGGTAAACGCATGTCAGTCAAATAAGAATGGCTTTAAACTGGGCATTGGGAAACATTTTTAATCCCAGCACTTGGGAAGCAGAGGCAGGCGGATCTGTGAGTTACAGACCACCCTGGCTTACATAGTGAGTTCCAGGACAGCCAGGCCTATGTACAAAGACCCTATCTTCAAAAAGTATGCAATAGAAGCTTTATCCTTTGTTCCTAAAGGATCAGTCACTGTCCCATTGATGGCTGCATCCCACTCCTACATGGGTGACCTGGGGTGAGATTTCTGTCTCCGTGTAGATCACAGCTCCATCTTGATAAGCTGTAGTTATGCACTGAATTATAAACTTTGCTACCCAAAAATCTCTCTCTCTCTCACACACACACACACACACACACACACAAAGGTAGAGAATGAAATCAAGTGTTAATACCAGCAAGAAATTTGAACATGACAGGTCAAGAAGTGAGAATACAAATAAATTCTGGGGTGCTGGCTTCTGCAATGCAAGCCTTGAGTGTGCAAACACCCACACACACACCTCACTCCCTGGCCTTGGCCTTCGGTGTGCCACAATCTGTGGTTTGCCTTCACTCAGGAGGGAGCCGAAGCAGGCATGAGCCTTATGTGCTGAGCTGATGTCATCCTCTGTTAACATTTACAAGTGGGCAAGGAGGTTGAAGGCGCTCAGGGAGTTTCAGAGGGTCCAGAGACAGATTTCTTTGTGTTTTCATGTGGAAGAATTGGTTACTATGCCAACCTAGAACTCATCTCAGAGCTATTCTTTCTCTCTCCAACCAAGCATGAAGAATAAGGAATATGCAATTGCCAGATGTGAGTCTCAGCTTCCACAGTGGCTTTTTGTGGGGTGCCCTGATGGAAACACAATTCCTTGGCAACTGAAACCTCTAAAGAAGTTGAGACCATGGTCCTGAGAAGCGGGGAGGGGCGGAGTGGGGCGAGAGGGGGGAGCGCCCTGATTCCACTTCTGTTGCTGTGATAAAATACCACAATTTAGCTGGGCGTTGGTGGTGCACGCCTTTAATCCCAGCACTCGGGAGGCAGAGGCAGGTGGATCTCTGTGAGTTCGAGGCCAGCCTGGTCTACAGAGCGAGTTCCAGGACAGCCTCCAAAGCCACAGAGAAACCCTGTCTCGAAAAACCAAAAAAATAAAATAAAGCCGGGCGTTGGTGGCGCACGCCTTTAATCCCAGCACTTGGGAGGCAGAGGCAGGTGGATCTCTGTGAGTTCGAGGCCAGCCTGGTCTACAAAGTGAGTTCCAGGACAGCCTCCAAAGCCACAGAGAAACCCTGTCTCGAAAAACCAAAATAAAATAAAATAAAATAAAATAAAATAAAAAACACCACAATTTAAAAAAAGCTACTTAGCAGAGAAGGGGCTTGTTCGGCTTACTATTCAGGTTATAGCCCATCTTTGTGGGAAAGTCTTGGCAGCAGGGAACTGAAGCAACTGGTCACATTCCAGTCCCTGTCGAGAGCAGAGAGAAATGAATATGCGCGCATGCTCACTGCTCAGCTCTTTCTCCGCACTTCTCCAGCCCAAGCCCCAAACACAGACTAGTGGCGCCCCCTGCAGGATGGGTCTTCTCACAACTAACCCAATTAAGAAGAAACCCCTCACACACAGGCCAACCTGAGCTAGACGACAAAGGGTATCTTTCACAGAGACTCTTCTCCAGCTGACAGTTAAAGCCGACCATCACAGGGAACGGAGCTTTATGTTCCCCAGGTATGAATTATGGAAGAGAATTGTGGATTCTGGCTAGAACATACACCAAATCCTTCGTTCCAGATACATTTAAGGTTGTCTTCCGACTGACACTGGCCAAGCCTCAGCAGGTTGTGTCACTGACATGTAAAGTCAGGGGACTCTGGTAGGGAACATAGCCAACACATTGCGTGCTTGCCATTACTCTTTTGTTCAGAAGCAATGCTGTTTGGATACCACAACATCATTTTGTTGTCGTTGTTGTTAATTATTTTTCGAGACAAGGTTTCTCTATAACAGTCCTAACTGTCCTGGAATTCTCTTTGTAGATCAGGCTGGCCTTGAACTCACAGAGATCTGCCTGCTTCTGCCTCCCAAGTCCTGGGATGAAAGGAGTGAGCCGCCACCACCTGGTCAACAAACACTAGACATTTGTTAATTCCCCTGATCACTGGCAGCAGTATGGCAGGCGGGGTTAGAATAAATGTCTGCTCCCATGGGGACCTATCTGGGTAACTTCCATAATGAACCGCTTCCAGTGTGGACCAGCCACCAGATGGCAGACTGGCCCTCTCAGGACCTGGTACCGTGCTGAAGGTTGAGTCACTGTTCTTGGCAGTTGGGCACTTGGCTGTGGTGGGAAGACTAAGGTTAGACAAATAATTGCTAGACACCTCGGTAAGAGGAGCCTCGTTTTATTCAGGTCACCCACATATTCAGCCCAAAGACAATCTTCCCTGGCTTCTTTGCTATTAGATAAAAGCTTATTAAGTTTGGACAATGAAATGTCCCTTTTTGCCATCACCTCACATTTCCTCCCTGCTCCTCGGAGTGAGTCTGTGAAGACTAGCACTTCAGTGGCTGTCTTGGAGCTTGAGATGAATCTGGGGAAGGCATTGCCGTGGTGCACAGGTGACAACTTGTGGAAGTCCGCTCTCTTCTTCTACCATACGAACTCCAAGGCACTAATTCAGGGCATCAATCGTGGCAGCAAGTGTCCTTACCTACTGAGCCATCCTGCCAACTGTGAGATGAATTTGGAGATGGAAGGCACAAGCTTAGAATGTGGGACTGGGTCCCTGAGGACAATGTGGGCACTAGACGGAAGAGAAATAAAGTTATATTTGATACAAACCAAGCTGGGCTTGGTGCTGCACACCTTCACGTCCTTGTACACCAGAGGCAAAAGCAGGAGGCCTGCTGCGGCTGATGATGATGATGATGATGATATTTGAACCATTATTTGGAGTTATCTGTAACATAGAAGTTGCCTTAGGGTTTCTATTGCTGGGAGGAAACACCATGACCACGGCAACTCTTTTTATTTATTTGTTTGTTTGTTTTTGTTATTGTTGTTGTTGTTTTGGTTTTTTGAGACAGGGTTTCTCTGTATTGTTTTGGAGGCTGTCCTGAAACTCGCTCTGTAGAGCAGGCTGACCTCAAACTCACAGAGATCCGCCTGCCTCTGCCTTCTGAGTGCTGGGATTAAAGGCGTGTGCTACCAATGCTTGGCCTTTTTTTGTTTGTTTGTTTTTTTGAGACAGGGTTTCCCTGTAGCTTTGGATGCTGTCCTGGCACTCACTCTGAGGACCAGGCTGGCCTCAAACTCACATAGATCCACCTGCCTCTGCCTCCCGAGTGCTGGGATTAAAGGCGTGCGCCACCAACGCCCGGCTAGCAGCTCTTTTTTTTTTAAATTTTTTATTTATTATATATATAGTATTGTGTCTACATGTATCCCTGCAGGTCAGAAGAGGGCACCAGATCTCATTACGGATGGTTATGAGCCATCATGTGGTTGCTGGGAATTGAACTCAGGACCTCTGGAAGAACAGTCAGTGCTCTTAACCTCTGAGCCATCTGCCCAGCCCCCCGGCTAGCAGCTCTTACAAAGGGAAACATTTATAATTGGGTGGCTTACAGTTCAAAGGTTTAGTCCATTATCATCATAGTGGAACATGGTGGCCTTCAGGCAGACTTGGTCCTGGAGAATGAACTAAGAGTTCTGTATCTTGATCTGCAGGCAACAGACAGAGTCTGTGTTCATACTGGGCACAGGTTGAGCATAAGAGACCTCAAAGCCCACCCCCACAGTGGCATATCTCTTTTAACAAGACCACACCTACTCCAACAAGGCCACACCTCCTAATAGTGCCACTTCCTATGAGCTTATGGGGGTCAATTACATTCAAGCTACCACATAAGTCAACCTAATATTAACATGTAGAATAAATCACACGTCAAAGGACAAATCCAAAATGTAGTGACAACTGGACAAGTGGGTCATTTGACTGCAATATCTGTCACCCCAGTATTCACCGGGGTAGATTGAAGCCATCTGGCTTGCTAGACAGGTGTCTCTTTTCTCCCTTGTAGCTCCATGTTTGTCCCTCTCAACACTGAAAGTGCGTTAAAGGAGTCCACAATTACCCAGATAAAGAACTAACAGGAATTTTTAGGGAAGCACTCACACAATGATGGTGAATAACCACGTGGTCTTCCTGCTCCTGGAGATGCAGCCTCTGCCCTTCAGGATGCATCCACCACAACCCAAGAGCACACCACCAGTCAACCCCTGCTCTTCCTTATAAGGTCACGTCCACATTCGATGAAACCACACCCTAAGGTGTGGCCACCACCCCAAGTCCACTGGCAGAGCAAGATGCCACTACACAACTCTGAATGAAGAGACTAACTCTGACAGAGGAGGGCTACTCTTCACTCCAGGGTTTACAGCATTAACTCCCAAGGTTTACAGCATCCACTCCAAGGTTTACCAAAGCTTCACTCCGGAGTTTACAGTATTCACTCCTGGGTTTACAGCATCCACTTGAGAGTTTATGGTATCCACTCCTGGGTTCACAGCATGCACTCCAGGATTTACAGGTGCTCTCTCTACTCCAGGGTTTACTATAGCTCTCTTCCTCTCGGTTGTGGGAACCTCAAGACAAGCTCTCAAAATACAGCAGCGATGCCAATAAATGTAAAAGGAATGAGGCTGCAAGGCATAGGCCTGGAATCCCAGGAGGTTGAGGCAGGAGGATTATGAGTTTGAGGTCAGTCTGGGCTGCAGAGTGAGTTCAAGGTCAGCATGGTCAATTTAGTGAGACCCCAGCTCACATGATGACAATGAATAGCTTAATGGTAGAACATTTGTCTAGCATTTACAAGGCCTTTAGTTCAACATTCAGTGCTGAAAACCAAGTCAAAAGACAAATTTCAGGGTTCCTTTTAATTTTTTATTTTATGCGTGTAAGTATTTGCCTGCATATGTCTGTGTACTTTGTGCATGGCTGCTGCCCATACGAGCCAGGGGAGGGCGTTCGATCTTCTGGAACTGGAGTTAGAGATGGTTGTGAAGTACCACGTGGTGCTGAGAATCAAGTCCTCAGTGAGAGCAGCTGGGGCTCTTACCCACTGAGACATCTCTTCTGCTCTGTTTGGAGACTGGTTCTCAGTACTTAACCCGATCTGGCCTAGAACTCATAAATCAGAGATCTGCCTGTCTCTACTTCTCCAGTGCTGGGCTTAAAGGGTGCTCCACCACCTCTGAGTCAGTTACTTTCATTTTTAGGACCAAAAGACTAAAAATAAGAACAAGACTTCTCATCTTGGGACCATCGGATCAATGGCTTTGGAAAGAAAAATGCACTAAGTGCTAATAAACATTTACCTTATTGTTTTATGAATATGAGCAACAACTGGCATTAATTATCAGCTCCAATGACTTTGACCCCAATATAAATTCTGTTTCCATATCACTTTATTGCAGTGATTAAATTATTGTCTGATAAGTAGTATTTTTTTATTCTGACTGCTCCTTCAAGGTAATTAATAAGCCTATTTCAAGACCATGCAATTTGGTGCATTCATTAAAGTGTATGTATACTTGTTGGGAGTGCTTCAGGTACCTTGATCTTTTGGAGCCAGCCTTGTACTTTCTACTGTCTAAAGATTTACGTAATTGGCCTATAGCCCTAACAAAGGAGCCTTCTGGGGGTACTCAGAAGAGGAACACAAAGGTAGAACATAGATACACCATGACCCCGAAAGCTTGTCCAAACTCAGCCAGCCCTAACCATCACCTAGGCAATGGCCGTTAGCCCACCCATTCCTCTCCCTCCTGAACTTTTTACCTCACCAATATCCTGCTCTATGTGCTTAAAAAAATGCCCTGCTACGTGCATACCTGGTGTGCAAAGCAACCCTCTCACCCCCTCACTCCACTCCTGTTCTCCTGCTCTACCAAGTATATTGACTGCCCTGAGAAAAATAAAATTGCCACTTGATCAGATACTTGTCTTGTGGCCCTTCTTTCATGTCTCTTGTCCCCATCCCTGGTCCTTAGGTCTCTTGCTCCAGGTTGACATCCTGCAGGACATATACTAACTGGGGTGTGGTGGCACACGCCTTTCATCCCAGCACTGGGAAGGCAGAGGCAAGTGGATCTCAGTCAGTTTGAGGTCAGCCTGGTCTACATAGTGAGTTCTAAGCCAGCCAGGATATATAATGAGATCCTTTTTAAATAAATTATATTCACTAACATCACAAATATTTTAACTATTCTAACCATTATTTCAATATATTTCACCATTTTCAAAATGTTTTCCTAGGCCTCATAAAAATCCCAAAGGGGTCTACAGCACTATTAAGGTTGATGACTCCTAAAATAAAGACACTGTTACACTATTAATATCAACATTGGGGGAGGGTTAGCAATCTTAATTTTTTTAACTTGTTTTTATTTTATTGGTGTTTTGCCTGCATGTATGTCTGTGTGAGGATGTGAGATGTTGGAGCTAAAGACAGATGTGAGCTGCCATGTGGGTACTGAGAATTGAACCTGGCTCCTATGGTAGAGCAGTCAGTAAGTGCTGAGCCATCTCTCCAGCCCCTATTTTTATTTTTTTTACTTTATTCATTTATTTGGAGGGGATGAGCACATACCATGGATTGTGTGTGAAGGTCAGTGACAAATTGTAAAAATTAGTTCTATCCTTTCATCACACAGGTCTTGGGAATTGAACTCAGATCAGCAAACTCCTTTATTCATTGAACCATCCCACTGGCCCTGATTTTTTTAAGGATAAGAAATAGAGAAATATTCATTTTAAATTAATGAGATATAACAATCACAAATACACACCCCTTACAGCAACAAGAGACACAAAGCAACATTAAAATACACATAAATTAATAGCTATGGTCAACAAACCCCTCCCAGAACCTGAAAGACCAGTTAGACACAAATATAACTCTCTTTCCCCCCCAGTCTCTTGTGTGTGTATGTGTGTGTGTGTGTGTGTGTGTGTGTGTTAGATAAAGTCTCACTATGTAGCCCTTGAAGGTTTTCAAGTCACTGTCAAACAAGGCCAATCTTAAACTCACAGGACTCTGCTTGTCTCTGCCACCCAAGTACCAGGGTTCCAGGCCTGTGCCACCCTGCCAGGCTGAACATAAATATTTTTCAACGAAAACGATTAAACAGTCCCAAATATCATATATAAACTCATGCTTAACATAACTAAAATACAATTATCTTTTCTGTATTTTATACAAAATAGTTGCAAAAATAAGCTTTGTATTAAGTCACAGCAAAATAATATGTTTCAAGATCTGACCAAAAAAAATCATGATTTTATGGCAGCATCAGGTATGAACCTTTAGATGAAAAAAAATCCCTTCAACTAGTTTGCTGAACTGACTCAAGAGAAAACAGAAAACCCTAACAGTCCTACAAACTTTTATTTTTTAATAAATTCTCACTATGTAGCCCAGCTTGTTCAGCCTGTCAGTTGTTAGGGTTACAAGTACGCATGTACTACTAAGCCTTTAAAGAAATTGATAGTTGCCGGGCAGTGGTGTATGCCTTTAATCCCAGCACTCAGGAAGAAGAGGCAAGTGGATCTCTGTGAGTTGGAAACAAGCCTGGTCTACAGTTCAAGTTCCAGGATAGTCAGGACTACAAAGAGAAACCCTCTCTTGAGAAACCAAAACTAAGTTTTTGTTTTTGTTTTTAAGAAAATACTTGCTCAAGATGGGGTTTGTTTTTCTCTGTTTTCCTGGGGACAAAACCTCTTCCACGGACTAAGCAAGCTCCGTACCACTAACTCCACCAGTTCCACCCACCAAGGACTTTTACAAGGAGAGCTCACCCAGATGTCAAGAAGTAAACTATTCTAATCATACACAAAATTCCTGTAGAAAATAGATAAAGGAGCCGATGGTGGTAGTACACACCTTTAATCCCAGCACTCAGGAGGCAGAGGCAGAACAATCTCTGTGAGTTTGAGGCCAGCCTGGTCTATAGAACTAGTTCCAGGAAAGCTAGGGATGTTATACAGAGAAACCCTATCTCGTGGGGGGGGAAGCAGAGAAAACAAAAAATAGATAAAGGAGTTTTCAGAAGAAATTTTAAAAACCAATTCTAAAATATATGCAGAAGAGCAAATTCCAAGAGGAAACAGTGACAATGTGTGGTCTCTGGTGTAGGCGGAGTTTTCCTGTACTGCAGCCATTTCCCAAACAACCAACACTGAGGTCTACATTAGTTACAAATGCTCATTCAATAGCTCAGGCTTGTTACTAACTAGCTCTTACAATTTAACCCATTTCTATGCATCTATGTGCTGTCCTTAGGCTCGTGGCTTTTACCTCTATCTCATTTTGTGTGTCCAGCTTGTTCTCTGTCTGTCTCCTCTGACTCCGTCCTTCCTCATCCATCATTCTCAGTTTGACTTTCCTATCTAACTTTATCCTGTTCAGCTATTGGCTAGTAAGCTTATTTATTAAACCAATCATAGGGACATAAATTCACACAGTGAACAGAAAGATTATTCCAGAACACTCTGGGAAGCAAGACTTACTTGAAGTTATGGCAAGAGGACAGACAAACTGAGGTTGCAGTTCATGGCAGAGCACTTGACCTGTATAAATAAAACCTTCATTTTTTATCCGTAGCACAAAGAAAAAGAAGAAAGGGGGGAGGAAGAAGGCAGGAGGAAGAGGGATGGAAAAGAAGGGCTGGATAGATGACATAATGGTTAAGAGAGCTTATTGCTCTTGCAGAAGACCCAGGTTCAGTTCCCAGCATCCACATAAAGGCTCACAAGCATCTGTAGCTCCGGTTCCAGGGGGTCCTATACCCTCTTCTGATCTCAAGGGCTCCTGCATGAATGGGTTGCATATAAACTCATGTAAGCATGCATATACATAAAAATGAAAATATAAATAGAATAAATGTATGAGTAAAAACGTTTAGTAAACATCTTTTAAGAAAAGGAAGAAGCCAGGTGTTGGTAGCACCTGCCTTTAATCCCAGCACTCAGGAGGCAGAAGCAGGTGGATCTCTGTGAGTTCGAGACCAGCCTGGTCCTCAGAGCAAGTTCCAGGACAACCTCCAAAGCAATACAGAGAAACCCTGTCTCAAAAAACAAACAAACAAACAAACAAAAACTAAAAAAAAAAAGAAAGAAAAGGAAGAGAAGAAAGAGAAGGAAGGGAGATGGGAGACAACAGGTATGGTGTGTGTAAGAATGAACACACTAGCGGGACAAAGAGAGAGTTCAGAGTTACTCACACATATACAGTGTATTAGTTACTGTTCTGCTGCGATGATAAAATGCCACGAGCAAGGTAAATTGCAGAATAGAAAGGCTATGTTAGCTTATGGTTTCAGAAGGGTTAGAATCGACCAGGACAAGGAGGCTTAGTAGCAAGCTGCAGGCATGGTGGCAGGAAAAAGAAGCTGAGAGACAGAGAGAGGACTGGCAGTGGGACACAGCTACAACATGCCCAAAGCCTGCCTCTAGCCACACACTTCCTCCAGCAAGGCCACACCTCCTGAACCTCCCCAAACAGGGTCACCAGCTGAGGACCAAGTGTTCAAATACCGAAGCCTATGGGGGACACTTCTCACTCAAATCATCACATTCCAACCCCTGGACCAGACAGAGCTATACTGCAGCTCTCTAGGGAAAGGAGAATGTATTCTCTTACTGGTGCCAAGACAAGTGGATATACACATGGGAAGGTGTTAACTAAGACTTTTGTTGCACAACAGCATTAATAGAAATCAATTCTCTGGGGGTGGCAGGAAGCAGAGGCAGCTGAGCCTAGTTGTTGAGTGCAGCCTTCCTGCCAGCCTGGTTCTAGAGCTGCATCAGTCCCAAATGAACACACAAGAGGCTATATTAATTATGAAGCTGTTGGCTGTTTGTTTGGTTTCTTACTGGCTAGCTCTGACTTAAGTATTTACCCCATAATTGTTCATCTAAGTATTTCTCTTACCCGAGAAAGGGGTACAGACCTCTTACCCTTATGGCGGTTACATCATGGCTCCCTGTGTTTTTCTTTCCCAGAATCCTCCTCGACTCCTAGTCCCACCTATCTTACTTCCCTATTGGCCAACAGAGCTTTTATTCAACAACCAATAAGAGACAGAATGACATCTCCCATCACCTAGTCTAAGAGTGAGTTCCAGGACAGCCAGGACACAGGTAAACCCTGTCTCAGCAAAAGAAAGAAAGGAAGGAAGGAAGGAAGGAAGGAAGGAAGGAAGGAAGGAAGGAAGGAGAAAGAAATTCTCGGTAAATGAAAAACCTCAAGGAAAGATTAAACCTTCCAAAGCACACCCTCCTGCATATGGTCTCATAGATCCATGCACAACTGACTGGAATCTCCAGGTCTCGAGGTCAACACACCCCTCATTCACTAGTTCCCAACAGATGGACCCCAGTAATGGGCACCAGCTTCTAATCAAGGAGTTTGAAGCTCCCAGTTAGTCCCCATTTTATTATTTTTTAGACAAAATCTCACTGTGTACCCCCAGGCTGGCCTGGACATGCTATGTAGACCAGGCTAGCCTTGAACTCACAGAGATCTGCCCACCTCTGATTCCTTAGTGCTGGGACTAAAGGTGTGTGCACCACTGTGCCAGGTTTCCAGTGGCAGAACACTTATCCAGTTTCTTTCTTTGTGCCACTCTGATGGGTGCAAAGTCACATCATGTAGTCTCCTTTCATTTCTGTGGAAACTGACTAAGGAAGTTGACCAAGAGCTTCCTGTACATGTGCATGATTCAGTTTCTTACCAATTTCCCATGAGTCACTGTATACACTGTTGTAAATTGTCATTTGTTTTTCTGTTTCAGTTTTTCAACCTTCAACTGCATTTGTTTACAAGGTCCCTTTTTTTCCCAGTTTTTCCAGACAGGGTTTCTCTGTATTGTTTTGGAGGCTGTCCTGGAACTCGCTCTGTAGACCAGGCTGGCCTCGAACTCACAGAGATCCGCCTGCCTCTGCCTCCTGAGTGCTGGGATTAAAGGTGTGCACCACCAACGCCCAGCTTCTTTACAAGGTCCTTTACTGAATACAACTTGATCTTTATGTGGCCAAGTTTGAAGGCTCAAAGGTTTTGAAAAGCTCTTTTTTTGCCATTTGAAACAGTGCTTCTCTGGCCCAGGCCAGTCTCAAACTCCCAGCAATCCTCTTGCCTTAGCTTCCCAATCACTTGGACTACAGGCTTGAGCCATCATCTGGCTTCCTCTATGGAATTCCTGTTTGTTTTTCCCTGCTTTTCTAGTGGAATATCTGTCTTCTTATTGGATTTAGGGGGTGTATAAATATATATTACAGAGTCTTATCCTCCGGGAAGTGTTAGTACCTGATATTCTGGCCCACACAGGAGCTTTTACTCCTATGCCAGAGAACGCTGAAGAAGGTAGGAGTCACAGCTATATCCAGGACCGACTACTAAAGCTGGGGGTGAGCATAGCAAGGCTAAAGGGGTGCCAGGAGACACTGATAGCATCTTCGGTTACACCCACTCTGTCTGCCATAACACCCCTGTCCCCATCATTTAAAACCCCTCCTGGGCTCTTGTCATCTAGAAAGAAAACTTTCTCAGGCTACCCAGGCAACCCCTCCCTCTACACTGTTAGTTTTTCAGTCTTGTCACAGGCCCCAGGCTCTAATTGTGTGTCACGGTGTCTTACACCTGTTGATGTCCTGTCTCCTCCACTAGAGTGAGAACCTCAAAGCAGGCACCTCTCATTGCCATGTGGTGCCCAGGGTGGAGCCTGTCGCACGGCCTTCACCATAACATGAATTAGCACTTGTTGAACCCATGCTGACATGTCCTAATAGATGCATGTAGCTCTGCTTGGTTCTGGCAACCACCCTGGAACTGGGGGATGGCTCAGTGGCTAGATCAATTCCTGCTCTTTCAGAGTTCGGTACTAGAACCCACATCTGGTGGTTCGCATCCAATTCCAGAGACTCTGATGTCCTCTTCTGGCCCCCATATGTATCCCCATTTGTGTAGCACGTACTCATCCAGACACAGACATATAAATAAAAATCAGGGGGAAATCATACAAAAGAACAACAATCCCAGGAACCACTCTATCATTTGGTGTTCCAAGGTTGACAGAGACAAAGCTCAGACAGGCCTAGGCTAGCGGTGGGGGGGGGGGTGTACTGACTCCAGAAGGGGCAATCTAGACATATGCCCTCAGGCCTGGCCAGACTCAGAGACAGCCTCTTCCCTCTTCTGCTCTCAGCCTTGGGTCTCTGTAAGGGGCTTCACTTTGCAAGCAAGCTCTCTGGACCAGAGGAAGCTGACTATCAGCCCTGTAGCACCAAATACATTCCTGTGACTCAGCAGAAAGAGGAGGATTCTGATTGGCTTGTGCTGCCAGGGTGACAATGATTGGCAGCCCACCAGGAGCTATCCCCTGAAAGAATCAAAACGAAAGATATAGAAAAGTCTCTCTGAGCAGAATTGTGGCCTGGTGGATCCCATCTCATCATGGGACATGTGAAGGTATTTTGCTTGTGCTCTAACAAATAAAGCTTACCTAAAGATCAGAGCTAGCCATACTAGTTAGCCATAGAGGCTGGGCAGTGGTGGGATACACCTTTAATCCCAGCAGCCATAATAGTTAGCCAAAGGGCAGTGGTGGCACACACCTTTAATTAGGAGACAGAGGCCCTCCTGCCCACATGTTCCCTTAACTCTCTCTCTCTCTCTCTCTCTCTCTCTCTCTCTCTCTCTCTCTCTCTCTCTCTCGTGTGTGATATGTGTCTGTGGGTGCATGCTTACCAAGGCAAGCATGTGGGGGGTCTGTGGGCAGCTTTGTAGAGTTGGTTCTCTCCTCCACCTTTGCATGCTGGGGCTCTGACTCAGGTTGTCAAGCTTGCTGGGCTAGCGAGCGCTTTACCCACTGAGCCATCCAGCCAGGCCCTTTCCTCTTCTTATCTCCTCTGGGTGGGATGCATAGACCAGACTACTCATTGAATTCTCTTTGAGTCCTGCCGTGCCGAGGACACCATCACCCTTTTCCCAGTTGGAATTACACTTGGCCCCTAAGCATTTATCAGTGAGATCCACTGACCTGTCTTCATACTACAAGTCCCCATCCAAGAAGAATGTGCAACTGGGTAGGTGGGTACCATGCTGGAGGGGTAAGAGCCTCTTGAGATATGGATAGGGGGGGGCAGGACCTAATGGAGAGCCATGAGGGGAGGAACTGAGGCAAACCTTGTCCCTGCCAGGTGTGACACCTTTATATGACTGAGAGCTAACGGTCCTGGATGCAGGGTGTCTGTGAGCAGGGAGAGACGCTGCCCCATTCTCTTCCTCTCTCCCTTGCTTCTTTTTTCCCTCACTCAGAGAAGTTGCTGACTCATCATGCATGCTGGCCATCTGGCAACACTTGGGCGTGCCTGACTGCACTGCCTGGAATCTGGCCCATTCTATATGATCTTGGCCAAGTCACTTGTAGACAATAACCAGGTTTGTTTAAAGTGTTCACATGTGCCATTTCTAGATCTTCTGTCAGGCTCCCTATACAGATGGCATTATCATCTCATGTTGCATGTTCACAACCATTGGCAGGCGATGCCAACTGTGCACCCATTTTGTAGATAAGGAAACCGAGGCTCAGAGAAGTAGTGAAGCTCCCCCTGGGTCATTGAGAGAGCTAATATACAGACCTGGAGTCTAAGCCAGAGCCCACTTTAATCCAAAGTTTCCGTGCTTCTGTGCTGCTGTAGTCAGAGGAAACTGCCAACGTTCGTCAAAGAACCAGGTAACATTCGTATGGGAGAGAAAAGGATCCACCAGGGTATAAATCCATTTCTGGTACCACCAACCCAATGTCCATGAAGAGGAAGGAAGGAAAGAAGGAAGGGAGGAAGGAAGGAAGGAAGGAAGGAAGGAAGGAAGGAAGAAAGAAAGAAAGAAAGAAAGAAAGAAAGAAAGAAAGAAAGAAAGAAAGAAAGAAAGAAAGAAAGAAAGAAAGAAAGAAAGAAAGGCCCGGCTTCCTTTCTGCTGGCATGCTTTTAAAAGCTGAGTTAGGACCAGGAGGAAATGAAAGCAAACCACTGAAAACGGAGACGTTCCCGCGCTTTGCATACCTTCTGACTTGGCACATTGCCATGGTTGCCCTGCAGCTTCATCCCTTCTCTCCGTTAAAAAAAAAAAAAAGTCATTAGATATTCCTAGGGCTTTGGACCCTTAGAGCTTTGAACTCAGGTCACACAGACCCACCCAGAATCCTCCTCCCAAGGACGGTGTTTTTCTACAGCCATTCACTGAAGTGGCACCCGCCTGTGACCCACTTATGATCCATGTTAGCACTGGGTGAAGGCTTTAAAGGAGACTGACTCACTCGTGGGCACCGCACATCGGTCCACCCTGGGACTCCCCCGCTCAGCCGAAACCGCATATCCTCGGGGCTCCAGTCCTGGGAGCCTCCAGGTCTCTGGTGTCGCGCAGGGACACACCCCGGGGGAGGAGCCACCTCTCCTGGCCAGCGCAGACAGACCGCCAGCTCCAGTTCCCTCTCCTCTGCTGCAGCCAGCACACCCATCCCGGACCGGACCGACATGGCCCAGGAACGCCCCTCCTGTGCCGTGGAGCCCGAGCACGTCCAGCGCTTGCTACTGTCCTCTCGTGAGGCCAAGAAGTCAGCCTACTGCCCCTACAGTCGCTTCCCTGTAGGAGCTGCCCTGCTCACCGGGGACGGGAGGATCTTCTCTGGTAAGGGCTGGCGCCGTGGCCCCCTCCCTGGCAACCTGGATGGGGCCCAGGTACAAGTGGAGAGGGGAGCAACGCCGTCCCCTCCTTCCTGGGCCTCTCCGGCCTCCTGCCCAGGCTGTGTGGCAACTCAACTGTTGTTCTACACAGTGGTTCTCTGTTCTTAGAAGTCTGAGATGGGGAAGGGAGTTTGCAGGTGAGGCTGGAGGAAGAGTTCAAAACCAATACCCCCCACGACCTGCAGGGCAGGAGAGGATTAACTTCAGAATGTCCTGCGTGCCTGGTATTCACCTGTTCATCTGTAAATTCTTCCTCTAACCTCCTAACCTGGGTTAGATCCATTTTTTTGATGAAGAAGCTGAAGCCAAGAGACGGGTCTTAAGTCACAGGAAGCCCCGGTGATGGCACCTAGGGCTGGAGGCCCCCAAAGCCTCCCTTCCTGTACACTGGGGTGCTGGGGATGGCTGGTGAGGAATGGGCATCTGGTGTAGTGTCTAGGAGAGGATCCAGGCATGGTCTGGGTGGCCAGCAGTCTGCACTGAGTTAACACGGGTCTGCCCTGAGCTCATGTTCTTTAGTTTCTGGTTTTATAGACACTCACCTAGGCCAGGGTGGCTGCAGCTGGTGGTGGGGTGCTTGCTCACATGCACAAGGGTCTGGGTTTATGGGGAGGGTAAGAGGAGAGGAAAGGGAAAAAAGAGAACGAGGGAGGGAGGGAGGGAGGGAGGGAGGATGGATCTTGGTAAACTTAGGAACACTCCAGTAGGGATATGTCGTGAACAGGAGGCAACTACAGTGCCCCTTTGTATGTCTTGTTGACCGAGGTTCTGTGGTGTCCTGAATCACCTGGGTGTTGTGTGACACTTTTCCTTGGGAGGCACAACACACGTCTATTCACACACCCCCCATGGAGCCCAAGACAGCCCTGAGTGCAGATACCTCCAAAGTCCAACTCAGTGAACCAATGAGTTTTACTGGGGTTACTTACAGGAATATGGGTGTGGGGTCACTTACAGGCGCAGAAATGACTCAAAGACAGTTGCATCCCCAGGGCCACCCCAGCATGGCGACAGCTCACAAAGCTGGGAACCTGGAGCACACTGCACAGCCTGCAGGCAGCTCCACAGGTTGGAGTGTCCTTTTCATGTGGCTTGCTGGTTTTAAACCTCTTGCAGGCAGCTGGTCTGGTCTCAGAGTCTTCTTTGCAACTCAGCTTCCTTCGCCTGGGAGAGAGTCTCATTTTTTTACTGTTTGCTCTGGCAGGGGGAGGCCTAGCTAATCTGGTTGGTTTCAGGGACTTCCAGATGGGGTTTATGGAGGACATGAGCACATGCATGGCTTGGGCCAGGACTGTGGGAAGAGGAAGAAGAGGAAAGAGATCTGGGGTGATGTGCCAGTCAGTAAAGTGCTGATCTCCAGAGCTTACATAAAAAGTTAGGCTTGGTGGCACTCACTTGTCATGCCAGTGCTGGGTGGATGGAGACAGATGGACCTGGGGGCTCTCTGGCCAGATAGCCTAGCCTGATTGGCAAGTGCTAAGTCACTGAGAACAAAGAACAAGGTGGACGGTGTCTGAGGAATGACAGCTGAAGTTGACCCGTTCTGGCCTTGGCCTCTATACAAATGCATGGGTACACACACACACACACACACACACACACACACACACACACACACACACACACACACACACGGCAGTGAGAGATACAGGATGGAATGAAAAAGAAGACTTTGGCCCAGGAATTTTCAGCCAAGAGGAGCAGGGGAATGATAAGGTAAATGGCAAAAGGCAGAGCTGGTTTGTGCTGGGGACAAGGTGACCAGGGACCAAGAGCAAAGATAGGAGCTACAGCAGAGTGAGGAGTGCCCTGTTAACTGTGTGGGAGAGCTCTTAAAATCTCACAGCCAGTGCAGGAGGGAGGCAGGTGAGTGCCTGCTTTCTCTTGTTGGTGACAAACTTGCAGGGTGGCTCCAATTTCAGGGCAGGCTGACCCAGGAACTCAGGTGCCAGGCCATTCTGTTTTTTAAGACAGGGTTTCACTGTGCAACAGCCCTGGCTGTCCTGGAACTTGCCCTGTAGACCAGGCTGGCCTCAAACACCCGCTTCTGCCTCCAAGCGCTGGGATTAAAGGTGTGTCCCACTACACCCGGCGTGCCACACGTCGTTCCTATGATGGGTGCTGTTTGCTTTCTGTTGCCTGGCAGATGGGCCTCTACCCACTAGAGGACAAGGGTGCAGGCAGCCTCTGCTCCTCATTCTTACAGCCATTGCACCCCACTTTAAATCTCAGCCCAAACTCAGGCTCCTTGGGCAGACCCTTGCTGCAGGGTGGATGTGCAGAAATGTTACCACTGACCTGAGAGCAGTCCTTTTGTCTACTGGGATGCAGAAGTCACAAGCAGACCAGGAGGGACACTCTTTCAGCTCGGTAGTGCTGGGTCCTCTAGTGCCCAAAGCTTGTGGTATGCACAGACACAAGGGCTTAGCACTCCAAGTCTGGAAAACTTAAAACTCGTGCTCCCCAACCCGGAACTCAGAGACTTAGAGTTTCAGGCGCTCACATGGGAGGCACGCGGCTCTGGGCTTTGATTGCCCGTAGCCTGGCTGGTGCTCAGCAGCCAGTGAGTTCCATTGTGGCACCCTGGGCCTTCAAGGCTTATCCACTTCTTAGGGCTCTGAAGCCTGGGGCAGGCATTACGTTTCCTCATTGTCCATGCCCCCTGGGAACTTTGGCCACCTTTTTGTGCCTAGTGTCACTGCCCCCACCGTTTTGTTGTCTTCTCTTTGCATTACTAGCTCATCTTGCTCTACCTGTGATAGCAAGTCTCTACCTGCCATAAAGACAGCAAGTAGGCAGGAAAAGAAAAAGACCCCTCCACAGGAGCCTTTTAGGGACAGAGACAGGAGGAGGTGGGTATTTCATAGGTGTGGCATGCAAATTGAAACACACCAACCACAGTCACTTCAGGTTTTATCAAGAACAAAGTCAACCCTTCCATCTGTCAATCACAAGCCTTCCTGAGTCATCAAGGGAGTGTCCCTCTGAACCCTGCAGAGCAGGCAGAGGTGGGTCACTGGAGTAGCTGTAGGTGGGGGTTCAGGGGCAGGTGTGTCCAAGCTTCTGACATTACAGATGAATGTTGTCATTTACATAACAAAACACACAAATCTCCCTCTTTCTCTCTTTGGTTTTTCAAGACAGGGTTTCATTGTGTAGCCCTGTCTGTCTGTCCTGGAACTCACAGAGATCTACTCCACTCCCCTCCTCTCCCTAGTGCTGGCACTCAAGGCTTGTGCCACCATCACCTAGCCCAAAAAATTTTTTTAAGATTTATTTTTAATTGTGTGTATGTGTCTGTCTGTCTGTGTCTTTTGTGTGTCTACGGGTCTGTGTGTGGGTATGAACACGTGAGTGCAATTGCCCAGAGGTCAGAAGGCATTGGATCCCTTAGACCTAGGGTTACAGGAGGGTGTGAGCATCCTGAAGTGCGTGCTGGGAACTAAACTCTAGTTCTCTACAAGAGTGGTACATACTTTTAGCCCCTGGGCCATTGCTTCAGCCCCCCCGAATCTCATAATGCTGTAAAAGGTTATAGTTTTGTGTTGGGCTTCCATCCTTACTATCCTTGGCTGCATATAACTGCATGCTGCCCACAGGCTGTAGGTTGGATGTGTTTGAAAGTTCACTGAGGCGTGTCTGACCTGTAGTAAAGGTTTCTAGCTGTGGAACGTGACCTGAGGCAGGAGTCCTGCCTTCAATAGGAGTGGTTAGGATAGACTTTGTGGCTAGGGTGCATGTTTTCTCTGAAAGAAGGGAAGGTCTGAGCTGGGCAGTGGTGGTGCACACCTTTAATCCCAGCACTCAGGAGGCAGAATCAGGTGGATCTCTTGAGTTAGAGGCCCCCGTGGTCTACAGAGTGAGTTTTACGGTAGCTAAGGCTACACAGAAAATCTTGTCTCAAAAAACAAAAACAAAAATAAAACAACAACAGAAAAAGTGTTTGTGTGGTGTGTACGAATGTTTTTATATGTGTTCAGGTGTGTCTGGAGGCCTCAGGCAGACATTAGAAGTCTCCCTCCATCCCTGTCCCCCTTACTCACTGGGGGCAAGGTATCACACTTGAACCCAGAACTCACAGAACCCAGAGCTCACCTCTCTGGTCTAGCTTGCTTGTTCCGGAGTTCTCGTTTCTACTTTCTGAGTGGGTGCTGACTCCACCTGCCATTTACCCTGCTGCTGGGGATTCGAATTCTGGTTCTCATGCTTTTTCCTTGTTGCTGTATTTTTTTGTTTTGTTTTTTCAAGACAAGGTTTCTCCGTATAGTTTTGAAGCCTGTCCTGGCACTCACTCTGTAGACCAGGCTGGCCTCGATCTCACATAGATCCGCCTTCCTCTGACTCATAAGCGCTGGGATTAAAGGTGTGCACCACCACCGCCCAGCTGGTCCTCATGCTTGCACTAATGCTTTCTTTAGGCACCAAATCATTTCCCCAGACATTAAAAGTATTTAGCCTCTGCCCCAGTGACCTAGGCCCCTCCAAGTGTCTCTGAAGGAACAGAATTCTGCACAGAGGTGAACAAATGGAAGACATTAGCGGAAGTACCAGATGTTTTTCCTGATGACAGAAGTGGGGCCAGGTGCATACATGGAGGGCTTGAGGGGAGGGAGTCCCGAAGCAACCAGAGGAAACTGTGTAACATCGTGGGGTGAGTAGAGAGATCAGGGAGCAGAAAGGGCACAGCCCACTCGAGACACTGAGTTTGTAATTTCCAGCAGGATGTGTCTGCTCAGCTCCATGACAGGCTTCAATAAACAGAAGACCAGGCTCTCAGCAGCTTCCGATGCACAAGAAGGTGTCATCCCACGTAATTCAAAAGCAAGCCTGCCTGCTGACAGTAAGGCTGTCAGCACCTCAGAGTAACAGTTGCCCCCTACCCTGGCAGGGCCGTGTACCCCTCACAGGTGGGCCACCCGGCATGGTAATTGACGGCTACAATTG